AACACTACTTTTTTTTATATAATGTGTATGAATAGCGTAGGCATTAGTAAACACATTAAAACTGTCTGTTTATATATATGGAATATGTATCTAAACATTACATACAAGTAATTAAGTCATCAAAACTTTCTGTACATATTTCATAATGTTTGTTTAATGTTGACTAAAGAAATAAGTAAAAATATTTATTAACATCGAGTTTTATTATTGACAAGTTCAGTGATAATGTAAAGCTGCACCTACACCATGCGTGACTTAAGGCATAAATGTTTTTAGTTGTAACAACTATTGGTTATAATGTAGTCCGATGACGCTGAAGCTGTAAACAAAGTAGTTGGCACATCTGACAAACATTTATATCTTATGTCACGCCTAAAGCGTGTCATAATATCAAAGATTAATTTATCAATTAAACAATTAAGAAAAATGAATGCTTTTATATTTCAGTGATTTTCTTAGAAACTATAACAGACTGAATAAATTTAAAAGATGCTTATGTAAGCTGAAAGTTAATTTAACGTTTTTTTTGTATTAATAATGACATAAATAATTTATGTAATAAATGTATATATTGTATAAAGAAATTTTCATTTCAATGTTATAATCTACTATAACAGATTATCCTTCACATGGGGATGTTATTACCCCTGGACGGCCGATCTATATAATAAAATAATAGTAATTCGTACATTAATTTATGGTAAGCTTTCGAAACAAATTAACATTCGGCAATAAATTCGCATTGGAAATGACGCAACGGAATAAATATAATCCGGGTTTGCACAATATTTCTGTATTTGCATAAATAATGGATCCGTTTGATGTTGAACTGTGTAAAATCGGATTTAATTCGTTTAATTACTTTTTCTGGGTGGTCCACACCGACAAATTGATTAAACTGACAAAAGGAATCAACAAAAACAACAATAACAAGAACAGAAAAAAAATATATTTTAATTTAATTTAATCACGTGCTTTCGATTGTTGTTCATTAGTGAAATACCACGACTATTTGCATATAATTAATTTTATATGATTGCTCAACATTCAATTCCGTTCCAAATAATAATGATAATTCGTAATAATAATAATACATTGTTATATGTACATGATTTTACAAAATTAATGCATGTTGTAGTTTATTATTATTATGTTTTTTTTTTAATATATATATTTGTAATTGTTATTTTCTAAAGCGCTTACGTGGATCTATGTATGTATGTAATAATTAATTTCGCCATAAAATTGAAAACCGAATACGTTAAACCGTTTTGGGTTTCCAATAAATAAATCGATGGCGTGTTCATTCCATATAACCGAATATCATATAAAATATTATCGGATTTCATTACAAAATATCGCCGACCGGAAAGCGATAAAACTTCACGTCAACGATATTAATTGTCCAGTAACATATAAATCAGGCGTGTTACGAAATACCAATACGATCTGCCATTTGCATATACATAAACATTTATTTAGATCGAGACTTTATTCATATATTTTTGGTCCACTGACAAGAGAACATGCTCTTATTTTCAATTGAAAATCAACAAAAAAATATATATTTCTCTTTCCGCCAATGAAACAATTTATTATGGATTTAAACTCAAACTAAATTTTAATTAATTTTGAGTAAAAATATTCAATTTTTGACCTTGGAAATATAAAAAGTTTTACTTTTTGAGTGGTTTCTTAATAAAGCAAAAATTATCTAATTTTTTTTTTAGTAAATTTCATAAGTTAATCCATTAATGACCTTAAATATGCTTAAAAGAATAATTTAATATAATTTTCAATCAATAAATTAAAAAAAAAACTATTTTCATATTCATAATTTTTGTAACATTTTTGATATTATGTGTCTAAAAAAATTAAAACAAAATCAATATATAATTAAATAAAAATGAATATATGTGAATTAAATCATAATAAAAAGCCTTACAAAGATTTCTTATAAAAATATATGTATTATTATTGATAACAAATATTCAATTAAAATGCTAAAATACACTGTGAACATAATATTTTTATTATAAAATGTAAATAAAACTCGTTGAAAGGGGATTGACCATTTGATGGGTGTTAAAGTGTTGTTGAAATTGGATGTATTGAACACACATATACACAAAAAAACATCCCTATGTGGGTTGTGTATATATCACGTTCAAACCATATCGAATTCGCTGTGTGCGAGAGAGCAGTGCGAAGGGCCGTAAGGGTTATCAGTGAAAGGGATTCATGTGGGCATATGACAGCTGCTTATGTTCAATTTGAGTTTATACATGACCGAATTGACTCCGTACACGGATTACAATTGAACCTCGAGCAATGATCCATTGTTTCGGAATTAAATGCAGCATCGGAATTAGTTGCTATTAAGTACGGTCATCAAACAAAAAAAAAAGTACAGGATTAAACGCCATTAAAGTTCGTAACGTTATGCACAGTTGGAAGTTATCAAAGTGAACGACATTGCCTTGCCAATTAATACATCATTAACAGATTTATTAACTGTAAATTAAGTTTTATTGTTCTTAATACTAAATAAGGTGATTTTTACAAAATTCTATTTTTTTTTTCAGAAACTTGATGGATGTTTGTAAATATTTTCAGTAATATTTCCTAGCGAGATTTCTTTGTTGTAGTTATTTTTTTGTGCATGTCTAGATGATCAATGTCTCGGCATTTCAGCGCGTACAAGAATTGAATTAATTTTCAGACTTATCCGAGCAAACGAGCTGCTTTCGTAATTTGCATGTTCCGCCAAATGATTTATTAGTATTATTTATAAACTGATTAATATATTATTATTATCAATATTAATTACGCGTATATTATGGCTTGTATAATTAACTAATTAAAATAAGTTATACCGGTAAATTTGCATAAGCGATAGAAAAGCGGTTCATCTTCAAACGTTTTGTTCTCGTTCTTCTATAAGATGCTGCTAAGATACTTCTAAAAGATGACAAAGACTTTGATTTATGCATCCACTTTTTCACGTGCAGACAAGAACAAATCGAGTTTAAACTGAGATTTTTAATTTAGCTAAATATAAAAAAATGTCAAATTTGAATAATTATTTCTCAATTTTAGATATTTAGAAATAATCCTTTTTTAATAAACCTTTTGGGTAGTTTCTATATTTATGGAACAAAAATCCATATATGTCCTTGAAATCTAAATACCTTCATTGTTTAGGTTGTTTCTACAACAATTTTTAGGAAAAATATATAAGTTTATGAATATATGTCCTTAAAAACGTAAAACCTTTATATTTCATGTGGTTTTTGTACTATTAAAGTAAATTATCGGTATTATGAATGGAAATATATAAGAACATCAACGTATGATCTTGAAACTATTGAAAACCTTTATCAAATAGTAAAAATTTTCATATTTCTGAAGTAACTATGAGAATTTTGCTTCAGTGCAATGTATTAATGAATAAACAAAGAAGAATGTGAATTTGGCACGTCATATGACCATCCCAGGGATGAATGTTTATATGCATACATACGTCGCCGAAAATCGCGTGTTTTGATGACCGGAGGACATCAAATATGCACGGCGCGCCGTTGTTTACACTGCCTCAACCGAATCAATTGCATGCTAATCAATTTCAAACATATTTCGCAAACACACAAAAAAAAGCAGCCGGATTGAATAATTCAAACAGAACTTTTACAGATTTAACACTCGAATAAAAAAAAAAGTGAGAGCTCTAACAGAGCAAAAATCGGACGAATCAAAAACGATGAAAAAAAAAAAGATGGCCAGAGTTCGAATATATATGTTGTGTTTTTTTTTTATATTCATGTTTCCTTCATCCCTCTATCTATACAGGAGTAATATCGTTCAAATGATTTGTTTGTTCGGTCCTGGTCCATTGTGCACCCCGATAAAACACAGCTTCAATATTTTGTTAACTCTCGTGTCGCATAGCTGCAAAAATATGTTTCATACATAACACACGCTGAAATAATATTTAAAATAAAATTTTCCCAACTTTTTGTTTTAAATTTTATGAATTTATTTGTTCGGAACGATGAAAGGTATAAAACAATGATGCGATGCCAAATTGTGCGAATTACAAGGCGAAGTGAAACGAAAAATCCGTCACTTTCTCTTTGTCCGAATCCATTGCCGTATTTGGCAATCCGCCGAAGACAGTCCAAGAGATTACACTTTGACAATTTATTTATTACACGGACGAAATGTGTACTTGCTGAATCATATGACGCGTCTGGCAAATTTATCCCTGATAAAATAAAGAGGTTGTCCTCCCTATTTGGCGCAACCACTTTTAAACCTTTTTTTTTTCTCCTCTGTCTTTAACAAATTTTCTAAACCAATAACATATTCATTTAAGCTATAAACTAATTTCATCAACACAATTTTATTAGATTTACCAAATAGTATTGGTAACAAAATAGACTGGACAAAAACAAAGCGGACAAAATTTAAATAAACATAAAATTACAAAGTATTCTTCTTAGTTTATTAAAATTAGATTATAATTTGTAAATAATTAGGACTTAATTAAATCAATATTTTTGTAAATAAAATAAAACTATGATATTATACGACCTTCATCAATCCTAAGATTAAGTAGACTCTTGAACCTCAACCAAATTTTGATTAATTCCGGTTTACCTGAAAAAATCATTAAATATAAGTAAAACCAATTCAATTTATACCAAATATTGTTAATCAATAGAAAAATTCATGTAGCAATTCATTTTCCATCATTTACTTCAACGGTTTTTATTGCACCACTTGATTTCAAACATTCAAATATACATGAAGCTTTCAACAATATGTAACATACCGATCAATA